ACGAAAACATTCTTAAAAACCTGTAGTATCCCTCAGACCAAATTCTCTATTTTGAAAAGTTCATGCAAATCTGAAGTCCTTGATTGCAGAAAAATGAACTGATAAATGACAAGGATTTAAATGTCATTAGCAAGGTCCAGGAAGAGGGAGGTTGAAATTATATAAACATAAACTAAAATCACTAAAAGGTTAAGTAGTCACTGCTTTTCTCCTTTATCTGTCTGCTCACAAACTTTTGTAATTAAAAATACTACTTAAATAGTCTATGTTAACAGTCATCTAAAACTTAAGAGTTCAACACTTTTACTCTTCAACAGTAAAACTCTCATACTTTTTTGTTCAAACAGGAATTCACTTGGCCTAGAAAAACTAATTTTCTCTCAATTAATATTACCCATCTATTCCAAAGGTTTATTTCAAAATAGAAGCAAGGCTTTCATAAAAAGTAAGAAAGTAAGAATGCTCTTGTTCTTGCAGTACTTATCATGTAATTTTTTGTTTCTATCCATGAAATCACCTGTAAAGGTGATTAGAGCCTGCCCCAAAAGCCTCCATCTCTCTCGGAGAGCCCAGCAAGCTACCAAGAGTATCCCACCCGCATGGCAGAGACTGGCAAGCTACCCGTGGCGTACTCGATAATGCCAAAAACAGTAACAATGATGGTCCTCATTCCCCTGACCCTGAAAAAGCCCCCAATATGACATCAGGCTACACTAGCACGTGAGAGGGATGAATGGAGACGATACTGGCACCCGCTCAAGTAAATTGATGAACAAGGGAGTGATAGTGATAGTGATACCATGAAAAATGTGAGCAAGATACTTCAATGGTCAAACATTATTTCACAAGCTCTGCAGGCTTTTCTTAACACAGACAAACATGAGACTCACTTTGCCATTTCTACAAATAGAATGCTATTATACTTACCATTGTTTCAATAAAAAGCATTAGGCCATAAGGAAGTAGTAACTTCAGTTCCATAATAAATTGGTATGAGCCTTTGTTAGTTATTTAAAATATTTCCTAACAATTATCCTTACATGAAATTTCTCAGATACTGGTCATAAAATTACAAAATTTATTATTAATGGAAGACATAATCCCGAAAGTTGTATTTCTACCCAATCATTTTATTTTTCATTGGTTTGGTTTTGATGTGACACTGAAGGGTGCTCAGGGCTTACTGGTGGCTCCACACTCAGGAATCACTCTTGCAGGTGTGCGGGGACCATATGGGATGCCAGAAATTGAACCCTGGTGGCCATGTATAAGGCAAACACCCTACTTGCTGTACTACTGCTCCAGCCCCAACTCAATCTCAAGGAAGTTTGTTCTTGAAATCTACTCCCTCCAAATATCTACATACAACTATCTTTTACAATTATACATTTTTGAAATTTAACTTTCTTAAAGAAAGCCAAATATGCTTCTTGTACTTAAGACATCAAAAAAAAAAAAACCCACCTGCCTAATAACAGGTTTGTCAAGGAAGATGCCAAGTATTTTTAGTTCTTATTGAGAAACAAAAGATACAGGAAGTTCACAGCAGTAAGTCTGGGGAGAACAGTTGGGGGGGAAAAAAGCTTAAGACCAGTAACTGGAGTAGGATTAGGACAAACTTTGAATTATATGTTGTAAGATACATTTAATCAGTGATAATAACTACTGGTTTATATTCTTATCTATTCTCCCTTGGAATTAGATGTCAGGATATTATCTAAAAGCAGGAAACAAAGTTCAATTTCCTCTGATATGAAACAGATTGTGCCTTAAGAATGAACTATTATAAACAACTTAGAACTAGACACACAAATTTTAACAGGAAAGAATACTGTATCACATAAAGAACCCAAATCCCTGTATTACAGATTTAAGAAATGAAAAAGATGAATCCAACATGGTAGAAGAAACCATAACAAAAATGTCTTCATCACATGAAGATAAAGATTAGAATACGAGTTGTGGTTGTTAAAATATGCTGTTACATTTTTAGGTTGTTTTTTTCCTTTTTTTTGTTTTTGCAGGGGGAGTGATTTTTTTTTTTTTGGTTTTTGTTTTGCTTTGTTTTGTTTTTTTTGGTTCACACCTGGTAGGAGTTACTCCTGACTCTGCACTCAGGAATTATTCCAGGTGGTGCTCAAGACAGGTCATAGACCAAAAAAAAAAAAAAAAAAATGATAATAATAATAATAATTCAGAGTATACATTTAACAAGAATTTATATCCAGAATATACAAAGATTGTCCATAAATGAGCAATATAATGATGCTTACTTCATAAGATGATATAATTATCTATAAGAACACAAAACAGTGATAAAATCATTACCTGGGGAAATAAAATACTACCACATATTCTCTAGAATTCCAGAATAAGGACTTACAACACAAAATATTGTCAAGAATGTGACAAAAACACAATTCTGATATGGAAATAACATGATATCAGTGCTTTAAGGAACTGACTTTCCCAAGACATTAAACAATATCTGCCAATCACACAATAATTCCAATCTAGATATTCCCCTCAAAGAACTGAAGTATATGTCCACTAAAAAAATATGTCAGAAAGCCATGATTTTCTTCCTAATAGAAAAGAATTGCTAATAATCAAAATGTTCAACACTAGAATGCCTTAAAAATTAACAAAGTACTACATTCTGGATACACATGGACAAATCCTGCAACTAGCATACTAACAATAGCAGATAAATAATATAGTGGATAGGTCATTTGCATTGCACACAACCAACCGAGGTTCGATCCTTGACATCCCATATAGTTCTCCAAGCACCACCAGGAATAATTATTGAGCAAAGAGAGTCGAGAGTCAGGAGTAAATCCTGAGCACTGAAGGGTTGACCCCCCCCACCCCAAAGAAAATAAGTCAGATAATTTGTTTATATTGACCAGAAATAGAATCAGCAAATTAATCAAATCTACAAGTATAAAAATCAGATCCTTTTGGAAAAGGCAGGAATTTCAGAAAGAGCAAGAAGGAAGTCACTAGATGATGACAGAGTTTGAAATCTTGATGAGACTGTGCCTTAACGTAACTAAATACACTGGTCAACACATTATAAACTCAAATATGTACTTTTCTTAGTATTTTGCCTCAATTTAAAAATAACCAGTAAAATAGAGTAAAATTCTAGTAAGTTTGGTTCTTACAAAATATTATAAGTTGGCAATTCTGAAACAACATTCTGAATATCCTAGGTTCGAATAGTGGGAGACAGATTTCTCACTTTTGGCAAAGTGACATATAAATACAAAAAACAGAAGGAAATTACAAATATATGATGAGGAATACTTCTTGGTGCTACACTGAATGAGAAATATTAGCATAAACTCATGGTTTTGAATGGATACAAATATATAATATATGCCAATATATGTATAGGTATATTTCCATGTGTTTATATACTCAATAGGTTTACAGATATTCTTCCTCTTTTCTCTTCCTTCACTTCCTAATTCTGTTGCAGAATGGAATAATAAAATGCTAGTAGCATATCTGCTGTCCAAAGGTTTCTACATGCCAGTAATCAATAAAAGGACCTAAACTTTCCTAGACAAGTGTTGGTTTCTAGACCAAAACAAAGAAAACATAAAGATGAGCCTGGGAAAACTTACTATACCAGTCAAATAAAGCCTCTTTAAAAATTAGGAGAGCGTCCTTGGTGGTGGAAAATGGGCACTGGTGGAGGGATGGGTATTTGATCATGGTATGACCGAAATCCAAGCACAAAAATTTGTAAGTCGACAACTGTACCTCATGGTGTTTCACTAATAAAAATTAAAAAAAAAAAAAAATTAGGAGAGCGTGTCAAAAGGAAAGAGTCAACTTGCTGACGTAATTGTCACTGTCACTGTCCTCCTGTTGTTCATCGATTTGCTCCAGCGGGCCAAGTAACGTCTCCATTGTGACACTTGTTACTGTGTTTAGCATATCGAATACATCACGGGTAGCTTGCCAGGCTTTGCCATGCGGGTGATATACTTTCGGTACCTTGCCAGGCTCTCCGAGAGGGGCGGAGGAATCGAACTCGAGTCGGCCATGCTGGCTGAGTGCAAGACAAACGCCCTGCCCGCTGTGCTATCGCTCCAGCCCGCAGACATAATTAGTGGTCAAATCTTGGACTATTTCAATACCAAAATAAAGATAATAATAATACACATAATACACCCAACAAGGTAAGAATTCCTAAGTTCACAATGACATAAAAGTCAGTAAAATGAAGGAAAGGAAAGCTTATTAATAGATAAAATATGGACTGAGCTAGAAAATCATCAACAAATGCTAAATATGGTGAATATAAGAAGAAGAGCACAATTACATGATCTCCAAGATCTATAGTTACAAAGTACTTTTTTAATTACAATGTGAGCATAAGAAAAAAATTTGAGTGGGGCCACATCTGGTGATATTCATGTGTTACGCCTGGCTCTGCACACAGGAACTACTCCTGGCGGTGCTCAGGCAAACATGTGGGATGACAGGGAATAAATGTGGGTCAGCCTCATGCAAGGCAAATACCCTACCCGCTAGTTCAAAGTAAAGAGAGCCACTTTAAATATAGCAGAGAGGTTATTTTCTTGGGTAGTCATATCACAGAGCAATTCTCAAATCTAATGTTCAAACACAATAAATTCAATTCAAAGTATTACTTCATGTTTTCTTACTCAAATGCATCACTCTAACTGTTGGTTTCTAGACCAAAACAAAGAAAACATACAGATGAGCCTTGGAAAACTTACTATACCAGTCAAATAAAGCCTCTTTAAAAATTAGGAGTGTGTGTGTACAAATACAGTGAATAAAAATATCTGTCATTCTTTTACTTAAGAACAACTTTCAAAATTACTAAGTAAAAGTAATTTCTATGTAAATATGACCCCCCAAAAAACCCCACAAACAAGTAAAGGTAACTTGAAAAGAACTAAAAATGAGGACTGTTACTGAATTCAAACTTTCATATCTGCAAAGGATAGACTTACCTTTTCCTAAATGTGTGTTTATGCTCATGTATCTTGCTGTTCCTGTAAGGCTCTTGTGTTCTCTGTATGGTATGTGTTTCTTTGTCTCTGGATCAATATATTCCTTTGCCAAACCAAAATCTATAATATGAATAACTTGCTGGGTTTTATTTCCTGGTCGTCCTATTAAAAAGTTCTCAGGTTTTACATCTCTGTATATCAAATTCTTTGAATGGACATATTCCATGCGAGAAATCTTAATTCAAAAGAAAAAAGATAAATTTTCTTTCAAGCTTCCACTTGTATAAAAAAGTCAGAAATTTCATAATTTAAAGAAAAGATGAAAAAAAGACTCAAATTGTTTCAATCCTTCAATATATGAAAAATAAAATGGACATAACATAATAGGCCTAAATCTTTTCAAAAGTTTATCCGGTTATGACTGAGCAATAACTATTAGCTTTAACTATAACTAAATGAAACAGAATAAATTCTTTACGAATCAGTAGTCTGATTCAATAAACACTATCAGATGCTTCTACCCAACAAAACTAAAAACTTTACTAGTTTAAATATTAAAACCTAAAGTATAAACAAATTCCTAATTTTCTATCTTATTAGTTATATTCTAATACTCTGTATTATATTCTAACATAATTATATCATTAGAATATTATAACTTTTAACTAATGTTAAGAACATTTTTCATATCACAGAGCAGTCCCAAAATTCAGTTTTAAAATGGATACATATTATTTAATAGCTAATAGTTGGTGCAACTAGCCCTGCATTTCCACACACTTGAACTGTTTAACACATTATAAAATATCTCCGCACAAGAAGTTTCAAGTGCATTGGTGTATTTCGATAAGAAAGGTTTTCAGAAGCATAATGACTTCACAAATCAATGGATAGAAACAATCTTGAGACTTCTGCAGCACACTGCTATTGGTACACTTTGACCCTTCCTTAAAGCCATTCTCTTGGTTTCCCCATTAGTTCTCTGACATTTAAGTAATTTATGACTTTCATTGTTTTCTTTTCTAAGTTATTAGAATTTATTACTAAGACTAAAAACCTACTTCTGATCATTTTCACTTTCTCTATATTCATTTTGTACATGAAAAACAGTGCTGGAAACAATTCTCAAACTGGACATTGTTAGTGCGGTGAGATGTTAAATATTCCTTGCAAATAAAATACAGTAATTTTGAAGTGATATGCATATTAAGTTATATGCAACTTATAAAGACAACAACATGAAAACAAGCTATATCACTACTAGGCTGAACGCTCTTGAAGACTTCTCACCAAACTGTAAACATTTAATATAAATTTGATATGAACAAACCATTCAACTATTCAAACAACTTCAAAAAATCTTGTTTTACTTACCAATTGAATAGCTATCATGAGAACAGTTTTAAGAGAAAATGTTCTGTCACATAAGTCAAACAAGTCTTCCAAACTAGGTCCCAGCAGTTCCAGCACCATAGCATTGTATTTACCACAAGGGCCAAAATAGTAAACTTGAGGTATACCATCTGTGGGGAAAGAAAAGGGTTTTTTTATTTGTTTGCTTTTCTGGGGGCGGGGTGGGGGGGTCAGGTAATAAGATATCTAACTTTTCTTCATAGAAAAATCAGTAAACTTTTTAAATGATAGTATTACTTAATGGCCTGGAGCAACAGCATAGCGGGTAGGGTATTTGCCTTGCACGCAGTCGACCTGGGTTCGATTCCTCCAACCCTCCTGGAGAGCCGGGCAAGCTACCGAGAGTATTCCACCTGAATGGCAAAGCCTGGCAAGCTACCCATGACATATTCGATATGCCCAAAACCATAACAACAAGTCTCACAATAAAGATGTTACTGGTCTCACAATAAAGATGTTACTGGTGCCCGCTTGAGCAAATCGATGAACAACGGGAGGACAGTGCTACAGTGCAGTGCTACAGTATTACTTAATACAGTGCTATATGATATTGGTAGACAAATTTACTATATCTTACCACCATCAAAATTTACACGGTTCTCTACCACTACATCTCTTTATTATTTCTAGTCCAGTTTTCATCTCCCCACCCTATTCCCTCACTCGACCCCTCACTGCTTAGTAACTGGTTCTGTAATCCAAGGCCAGTGGTTTGTCATTGTTCAGTGTTGTCTATTCACTTGTGGAAGTCATTATCTTCCACAAGTGAGTGAGATCATCTGGTTTTTGTCCCTCACCTCTAACTTATTTCACCTAATTCAATACCCTCCAGTTCCATCCACATTGCAGCAAAGTGCATGATTTCATCTTTCTTACAGCTGCACAGTATTCCACTGTGTAAATAGATCACAATTTCTTACCAGTTCAATTGTTAGGTATTTGGGTTGTCTCCATATCCGAGGGCTATTATACTAAGCATTGCATCAAACAGGGGTGCGCAATCTTTTCAAATTAGTAGAGGGGTTGTTTGTTTGGGGGTTAAATCTCAAGAATAGCACCCATATTTTTACTTTTTCCATGGAAGAGTAACATTAAAGATCAGAACAATAGTGCAGCTGGTAGGTGCACGCAGGCAGCCCTAGTTCAATCCCCAGAACCACATCTGATCACTTAAGCACTTCCAGGAGTGAACCCTGAGTGCAGAGGTAGGAGTAAGCCCTGAGGACAGCAGGGGATACCTCCATCACCCCAAAAAGTTAGACAGTAAAATTCTCATGACCTAGAGCCCTTCCTCACTGTACCTTCTCTTAGATATTCAATGTACCCTAGTTATCCTACTTAGACAAATACTGAAACTACCATTCTAAACAGTGGCTCTTGTTGAGCTCTACTCCCTCCATCACAGACAGGACTAGACATTGTAGTCTTTTTCTCATGGCCTAGAGAAAAGCTTGGCATAGGGAAAAATAATTATCAAGCAAAGGACTCACTGCTACCCTCAATAATCCTACAGGTGGTATACCTCAAACCACTCTAGTGTAGATTAAAGAGTCCCATCCTCCAGTATATACACTCCCTACTATCCCTAAGTGTGCGTAAAATTCTCAGATATCAATCTTGTAATAAAGCTGTTAGAGGCTGAAAGTGATATTCATGTGGTCCTAATGGTAGTAGAAATTAACCAAACCATACCCTGGGAAGAGTGCTAGAAGTAACACAGCCAGCCTTGCAGGCAGCAGGCTGCAGGATACAACTTCCCACACCATCCACCTATTACAGTGGCATCTACATAATCCCAAGGGTCAGAGCAAAGTGCCACCACAGTAAGCATCACAATCCTGGTCCACAAATTACAACAATATTTTTATTTCAGTCTGGCAAGACCCTCAACAGAGGACCCAGCTAAGCCATGTTCAGATTCTGACTCATGGAAATTGGAATAAGTTTCTTATTCTATTAATTCTAAATTGTTTCTTTTGGTTGGAATGTTTTTAGTTTTCCTTTTTAAAAATTTTAATTTTTAAAAGTTCTTTCCAAAACATTAAAACTTTCCCATTATTTTGAAGATTGTCTGGGTAATAGAATTTTGTATTTACCTTACTATTTTGAATATTACTACAGGAACAAAATACAGAAAACACTGAACTAGAAGTCAAGAAAACTAGTTTTTTTTGTTGTTGTATTTTGTTTTTGGGGCATACCCAGTGGTGCTCAAGAAACTATGTATGCCAGGGATCAAAGCCAGGGATCCTTCAGGCAAAACATGGACACCAAAGCTTCTAATCATTTCCCTGCTCCAAATCAGCTTTCTTAATTAACTACTCAACACTGCATCAAATAGGCTTCAGTTTGCATATCTACCATATTAGCAGTCAAGTTAAGATCAGTTTCCTTAAATGTGAATCTAAGACACATTCTACACACCTCCTTCTACACACCTCCCGCCCTACACTCACAACATCCCCTTGTCACTGAAAATCACACTCTTAAGTGAGCCACACTACCAGAGCAACTCTATAAATGTGTCATATTTACTTCTCTCCCTGAGCAAAAGCAGGGGGAAAAGGTTCGAAACAGTGTCAAAAAGCAAGCCTGCTAAAATTTATTTCAACTCTGAAATACTACTAGTGAAGAGAGTACAAATTAAAAGCATGGATCAGCACAATGTCTTTAAAATTACTAATAACATGCATATCCCCCATCTCTAAACCACTGAAAGTTGTTCATACTTATGGTCTCAATTTAGCAATCTCTAACTCCTTATACTGTAGGTCACAAGGAAACCAGATCATCAAGTTTGTAAGACTATATATAGAATGTAAAAATAAACAAGTTCTGCAGTCTTCAATAATAGAACTGTCAAAAGGCCTTTCTACTTCCTTCTTAGCCATCATCTTTACTACAAATAGGTGAAGTCGTGAAATAATTTGTGATAAGGTAGAAATAAACTCTAGTTTATTGAACAGCTGATTTTTTTCCAAATGTTTTCAAAGATTTCCAAAACTGGAAAATCATTTAAGGAATGTCCTAATTATTTTGATAAGTGCTTATTGAAAGTCCATGGTCTCCTTATGGAACTGAGTTAGAAATGGATCTTGGTGTGAACAAAACATGAACAAGATGATTTATTCCAGAAATGCAAGTTTGGGTTAACATTATAAAACACGCACAGACACAACACACACACAAACACACACACACACACACACACACACACACATTCAAGTAAAACTGGAACTTTCAAAATTTATATATGCTAAGAGCTTCCTAATATTTAACCAAAAACATTTTTTTTGGTGAAATTGTGGTACTGTATTTTAGTGTTAACATATGAAATATCTGTATAACAGTAAATTAATATTTCCCAAGTTACTAATTCATATATGTATAATTTCATAACAGGTAACTAATCTTTACAAAGTGCAATGTTTTAATGAGAAAATCATGAAAGTTTCATGTGGCTAACTACTTTGTATGGGAACCTATAAAATTTAGTTATGGGGGTCACTCCAGTGAGCTACGCAATGACAGGAATCAAAACCAAGACCTCAAAAATGGAAGGCTTTATGCTGTACTGCATTAGCCACATTTCCAACCCTCAAAAGATACTGTCATTTTTGGTTTTTGTTTTTTTTTGGTTTGGGGAGAGTTTTGTTTTTTGAGCCACACCCAGAGGTGATCGGGGGTTATTCCTGGCTGTACAGTCAAGAATTATTCCTAATGGTGCTTGGGAGACAATACTGGATGCCCTTCACGCTTTACTATCTATCTGGCCCCCAAAATACTGTCTTTTTAACCTTCTTTTGTATGTCTTTTCTTTTTTACCTAATTTTAACTAAGGATATTCATTCTTATTTTAAAAATTAACTACTCAAGGTTGACTTCGATTTAATTGTGGATTAAAACTTGATTGGTGAGAGCAAGAACTGGTGCATTTTTGAGGGAAATTTATTCTATCCTTTTCAAAGTAAAAGTATTCATGCAATGATGTTGCAATCTTTGTAATAATAAAAAATGTGTTAAGAATAAAAAACTGGGAAGTAAAAACAAATTCTATATTAAGATAGACATTTGATAGGTATCTAACTAACTATCACACCTAATTAGCCAAATGAAGTCATAATGGTCAGATGCAGTAAGATATAACCTTTAGCCACTTTTGTGGATGAACTGTGATGATTATTTACATCAATTTCTTATATCTCTTATAATTCTGATACAGCTGACATGATTTATAACTATGATGCATAACTCTTAAAAATGCTTTCAACGAGTTATTAAAAAACAAAAACAGAACACTAGAGGAAAAACAAGAATGCTAACAGAGGGGCTGAAGCAATAGTGCATTGGGTAGGGCAATGCCTTGCATGCAGCAGACTCAGGTTAGATTCCCAGCATCCCATATGGTCCCCTGAGCACCACCAGGAGTAATTCCTGAGTGCAAAGCCAGGAGTAACCCCCCTGCATTGCCAGGTGTGACCCAAAAAGAAAAGGAAAAAAAATGCTAACAGAGATTGCTAGGACTAGTGATTGCCACTTACACTTTTTAATCTTTTAGTAGGGGATGCTCAGAAGGTACTAGGCCCCTTTGTGGATTCTCAGCCAACTGGTCATTGGTTCTGTGCAAAATCCCTAAGGAGGTGAGAGGTGATGCTGCTGGAGCCTGGGATAGCTCAGCCACCCAATGCACCCAGAGACACTACACAGGAATTTCAGGGCACCTCTAGTTTTGCACATGCCAGGTATGTGCCCTAACCAATGTGGTGTATCTCCTGGTACCCTTATTTTTTTATCTATTAAACTTATCCAAAGTATCATGAAGAACACAATTTTTGTAATCAGGAATAAAATACACTTTTCAAAAAGTCTTCTTGAACTCAAAGAAAAAGATTGGAAAATATCTAGACCACATTTATTTAATCCATGTATTAACTGTTAATCGAACGAGTATTTCTCCAACAGTCTCTAAAATGATCTGAAGTCATAAGCCTTACTTCAAATGGCATTAGCTATTACCAAAATGGAGATCCAAGAAATAAGGAATACTCTCTAGACTTTGTTTGCCCTACTTATATTTGATTTCTTTTCCCACCACAGCTCTATTTTAAGG